CTATTTTAAAATTAATAGACAAACTAATTAGCAATACAAGTTATTCTGATGAAGAATTAAATATAGATTATGAAACAAATGATCTGGTATTTGATGATGTTGGATTTCTTGATGCTTAAGAAGAGGAAGAAGAGGTTTCTAAAAAAAAAAAAATCAATATCAATACACCTACTAATACTACAAATATAAGGCTTAAAATTAAAAATGCCCTATATAATATGCTTTTACACTATTGAAACTTGTTAAATGATGAAGTGCTTCTTGCTTGTCTTCTTGATCCAAGATGCAAAAAATTGTATTTTGCAATACCAAATCAATAACAACAGGCCAAGACCGCTTTTCGTACTAAGTATAATAATGCCAAATCTATTTGTCAACATTTAACACCATCTAGTAGATTTTCAAGTTCTAATAAAAATCAAACTAACCAAGAAGAACAACATCAGATTTATCAAAAATTATTCTTTAAACCGATTTTTATACAAGATACTCTTGATGAATCAAATAACGAGCTTGGCTATTATCTTTTCTTGCCTAATATCAATTATTAATCAAACCCATTTACTTGATGGAGTTCTCAAAAAAACTTCTTTTCTATTCTTAGTGAACTTGCTAAACAATATTTTGCAGTACCCACAACTTTGACTCCAAATGAGAGACTTTTTAGTAATATAAATAACACAATGACTAGTAAAAAAAATGATGCTAAAACCCAAGTTATTCAAATGCATATTGTTTTTAAAGCGTAATAACGATGAACTTGATGATATTTATAATAAAACAAATGTTTTAGATATAAGTAATTAAATCGTCCTATTATTAAATAATTTTTGTAATAAGTCTTTATAAACTAAAAATATACACAAGTAAAGAATTTGCAAAATTAAATATATTAAATAAATTTAATTTATACTTAAATGATCAAAATAAAACAAGCTAGTTATATTTTAATATTATTAATAATGAAACTTCTAACTTGTGAATAAAAAATAAAATTTTAATTTTAACATGTCTAGTACCTATAGTAGTAATAAAAAAAATACAATCAGAAGCAATTAAGATTATTAAAGAATGCAAAAAAAGTTTACACAGATCTGTCTTTGAAAGAAAATTTTTCATTACAAAAAATATTTAATAAATATTTATTGAATATTCATTAAATATTTGAGTATTCATTGAGTATTCATTAAATATTCATCGAATATTCACAAGTATTCATTAAATATTCATCGAGTATTCATTGAATATTCATCGAGTATTCATTGAATATTCATTGAGTA